TTTATTTATTTGAGAGAATGAGAGGGAGAGAGAGAGAGAGAGAGAGAGCATGAAAGGTGGGAGGGTGAGAGGGCTGAGCAGGGAGCCCAATGCGGGCCTCGGTCCTGGGACTCCGGGATCATGACCTGAGCTGAAGGCAGTCGCTTAACCAACTGAGCCACCCAGGCGCCCTGTTTTGTTTTGTTTTTTTAAATGGCATTATGGTGTGCTTTTGTTTTTACAACCATTTTTCTTAAGATTTCATCATGATCACCTTTCTAGTCTCTCCTTATTCTTCTAGAGGCTAGGCTAGATTGCACTATAATAATTGCCAAAATTTATGTAAATAATCCACCTCACTGTAACTGAACTTTCACACCCATTTGTGAGATTAGTGTCTTCCAAGATATTTGACTATGGATCCCTATTTTCAAGAAGTATCTTATAGTAGTAATGTTTCACAAAATGTACGATGGAAAGCACTACATTGTTTTTTGTATTTGTAGCATTTAAGAAGGCTAGTACCAGCCCTTTCCCACCCCAGTCCCTGAGCCTGCACACTGGGCTCAGCAAGTGCTTCTGCGCTGTAGCCCCTTAGGCAGAGAAGGTACCAAGTGACTGAAAATCTTGTGCTAACCTGACTGAACTGCTTGTGGACCGTGGGTGTTGCCCTATTTCTAGAAGGTGCCAACTTTGCCTTTGAGCAGATCTCTGCCATAGATACATCCGGAGCTCCTGGTCTCTTTTCTGTTATGGTTTAAAAACAAGGACATGTACATACACACTCTGATCGATGAAGGAGGGAATGGTAGGGGCTTCTTCTCTCCAGAATTTAACCCTGAGACATATTACGTTCACTGAAATGAAAACTAGTTAACCCTTCAGGATTTGGGGGCAAAAGCTTTGCCTAGGAGGTCTTTCCATAAAGAACATTGCTGCTAGGAAATAGCCCCATGCACGAGTGCATTTGAATTAAACACATTTGACAACACCATTTGATGTTTTTAAAACCTTGCAACATAGGGGCATTTGGCCGGCTCAGCTGTAAGAGTGTGTGGCTCTTGATCGCAAGGTCGTGAATTTGAGCCCCACCTTTGGTGTAGAGATTATTTAAATAAATAAACTTAAAAAAAAATAAAACCTTGCAACTTAGAAATTTGGTCCATGGACTCAGCAGCATCAGCAACACCCGGGTGTGTATTAAAAATGCAGAATCTCCAGCCCCTCTTTAAAGCTTCAATTAAAATCTTCATTTAACAATATTCCCAGGTGATTTGTGTGCATATTAAAATTTTAGAAGACATTTCTTTAAAAGATTACTGAAAGAGGATGTCTTTTTTAATAATCTTATTAGTGTAGAATATTATTAGATTTACAGAAAAGTTACAGTGATGCTCTTGAGGGTTCCATTTTGCCCCTCTATCCAGTTTCCTTTGTCGTTAACATCTTACACTAGTCGTATAATACATTTGTCATAAGTAATGAACTAATAGTGATATGTCATTATTAACTGAAATCCATACTTTATTCAG